GGGGTGTTTGTCCCCCCCTTGTTGTTGGTTCCTGGGGTGTTAGTCCCCTTGCTGTGGGTTCCTGGGGTGTTAGTCCCCCCTTGTTGTGGGTTCCTGGGGTGTTAGTCCCCTTGCTGTAGATTCCTGGTGTGTTAGTCCCCCCTTGTTCTTGGTTCCTGGGGTGTTAGTCCCCTTGCTGTAGGTTCCTGGGGTGTTAGTCCCCCCCTTGCTGTAAGTTCCTGGGGTGTTAGTCCCCTTGCTGTAGGTTCCTGGGGTGTTAGTCCCCCCTTGTTGTGGGTTCCTGGGGTGTTAGTCCCCTTGCTGTAGGTTCCTGGGGTGTTAGTCCCCCCTTGTTGTTGGTTCCTGGGGTGTTAGTCCCCTTGCGGTAGGTTCCTGGGGTGTTAGTCCCCCCCTTGCTGTAAGTTCCTGGGGTGTTAGTCCCCTTGCTGTAGGTTCCTGGGGTGTTAGTCCCCCCCTTGTTGTGGGTTCCTGGGGTGTTAGTCCCCTTGCTGTAGGTTCCTGGGGTGTTAGTCCCCCCTTGTTGTTGGTTCCTGGGGTGTTAGTCCCCTTGCTGTAGGTTCCTGGGGTGTTAGTCCCCCCCTTGCTGTAAGTTCCTGGGGTGTTAGTCCCCTTGCTGTAGGTTCCTGGGGTGTATTTCCCCCCCTTGTTGTGGGTTCCTGGGGTGTTAGTCCCCTTGCTGTAGGTTCCTGGGGTGTTAGTCCCCCCTTGTTGTTGGTTCCTGGGGTGTTAGTCCCCTTGCTGTAGGTTCCTGGGGTGTTAGTCCCCCCCTTGCTGTAAGTTCCTGGGGTGTTAGTCCCCTTGCTGTAGGTTCCTGGGGTGTTAGTCCCCCCCTTGCTGTAAGTTCCTGGGGTGTTAGTCCCCTTGCTGTAGGTTCCTGGGGTGTTAGTCCCTCCTTCCTGTAGGCTACCCCAGTAGCTAGTAGCCTGTGGGAACGTTAAAAATAATTTAAATATTTGTGTTTCTATAAATAAGTTTCTTAAGCACACTGGAGTAAGAGACAGTCGGGTCTGCTGAACTGTGGCGTCCCAGCAGACACCCGGATGACGTCCCAGCAGACACCCGGATGACGTCCCAGCAGACACCCGGATGACGTCCCAGCAGACACCTGGATGGCGTCCCCAGCAGACATCCGGATAGCGTCCCAGCAGACACCTGGATGGCGTCCCAGCAGACACCTGGATGGCGTCCCCAGCAGACACCTGGATGGCGTCCCCAGCAGACACCTGGATGGCGTCCCAGCAGACACCTGGATGGCGTCCCCAGCAGACACCCGGATGGCGTCCCAGCAGACACCCGGATGGCGTCCCAGCAGACACCTGGATGGCGTCCCCAGCAGACATCCGGATAGCGTCCCAGCAGACACCTGGATGGCGTCCCAGCAGACACCTGGATGGCGTCCCCAGCAGACACCTGGATGGCGTCCCCAGCAGACACCTGGATGGCGTCCCAGCAGACACCTGGATGGCGTCCCCAGCAGACACCTGGATGGCGTCCCCAGCAGACACCTGGATGGCGTCCCAGCAGACACCTGGATGGCGTCCCCAGCAGACACCTGGATGGCGTCCCAGCAGACACCTGGATGGCGTCCCCAGCAGACACCCGGATGGCGTCCCAGCAGACACCCGGATGGCGTCCCCAGCAGACACCTGGATGGCGTCCCAGCAGACACCTGGATGGCGTCCCCAGCAGACACCTGGATGGCGTCCCCAGCAGACACCTGGATGGCGTCCCCAGCAGACACCTGGATGGCGTCCCCAGCAGACACCTGGATGGCGTCCCCAGCAGACACCTGGATGGCGTCCCAGCAGACACCTGGATGGCGTCCCCAGCTGACACCCGGATGGCGTCCCAGCAGACACCTGGATGGCGTCCCCAGCAGACACCTGGATGGCGTCCCAGCAGACACCTGGATGGCGTCCCCAGCAGACACCTGGATGGCGTCCCCAGCAGACACCCGGATGGCGTCCCCAGCAGACACCTGGATGGCGTCCCCAGCAGACACCTGGATGGCGTCCCAGCAGACACCTGGATGGCGTCCCCAGCAGACACCCGGATGGCGTCCCAGCAGACACCCGGATGGCGTCCCCAGCAGACACCTGGATGGCGTCCCCAGCAGACACCTGGATGGCGTCCCCAGCAGACACCCGGATGGCGTCCCCAGCAGACACCCGGATGGCGTCCCCAGCAGACACCTGGATGGCGTCCCCAGCAGACACCTGGATGGCGTCCCCAGCAGACACCCGGATGGCGTCCCAGCAGACACCCGGATGGCGTCCCAGCAGACACCAGGATGGCGTCCCAGCAGACACCAGGAAGGCGTCCCAGCAGACACCAGGATGGCATCCCAGCAGACATCCGGTTTCTCTCATTTTGACAACCCTTTATCTTTGTAAAGTCCCCATTGACTCAGTTAAGCCTTGAATAATAGCTTTCCCTCTTTAGATAAACCTTATCTCCTCGTCCTCCGATTGTCGATTTCCAATTTGCATAGAAAATGGCCAAAATTTACTCCATTTTTTTTAAGGTTAAAGACATTCCAGCTGAGGCTCTGTGGTGGTCTCCTGACACTGTTAGTAAAGAAAGGTCTCCTGGACTTAAGTTTCTTTTTAACACTTTTCTTAGATATATATTTCTCAGTCACGTCAACCATTTAATTCTGCAAGTTGATCCTTGAGTAAGTGATCATATGTACCAGTTGTGTATATCTAAACGGTTTTATATGTATATGACTTGTCTATTTATATAATCTCCTTAGGTACTTTTTATCACTATTCTCGTGTGGTTTTTCTGCTTTTATCTGTCTGCTTATTTCACTATTTCAAATTATTTCTTTTATTTTTTCCCAGTCATCAGTTATATTTGTTTCATCTGGTTGTTGTTATTCTTCAGGAGCACGCTGCTCACAGCCCAGCCCGTCCTCATGAGGGCTCCCAACCTCAACAAACGCTCGTATTAAAGTGCTCTTATCCTAACCTACCAGAGGACCCCAAACAGAAAACGGGGCAGTATGTCAATTTCGTGAGCCATTTTCTAGTACGACGATTTTTGCACTTAGGACGAGTATACTTCAAAATGCGACGTTCTGTTAGGACAGGTTGCTTAGGCATCGTCTCCTCATGCTGTGTGGTCTAATCCCTATTATGTTATTCCAGGTATTAAGCCATCGGGAGAGAGAGAGAGAGAGAGAGAGAGAGAGAGAGAGAGAGAGAGAGAGAGAGAGAGAGAGAAAGAGAGAGAGAGAGAGAGAGAGAGGACTCTATGTTAAATTAGCCTTAATCACCGATTTCTGAAAAGTATCGGCGAATATTTACTAACCCCCCCCTCTCTCTCTCTCTCTCTCTCTCTCTCTCTCTCTCTCTCTCTCTCTCTCTCTCTCTCTCTCTCTCTCTCTCTCTCTCACCTCTCCCCAGGAGAGGGGTTACCAACGTCACTGCGATGTTTACTGTAAGGTTTGCGTGCCAAACTTTTCTCATTACCAGAGGCGTCATAAAACTGGTATTGTGCTTGCAGATTATCCTCCTCCTGCCATGCTGCGGCACTCATGCGCTCCTGCGCCCCCGCCTCCTCCCTTTATGGTGCGTTACCTCTAACTACCACCATAACAAGGCGTTTATGGCTATAAACTTGGCGGAGGATAGTGGTCCAGTATTGCCTACTGGACCTCTTTTGTTCAGGCTGAATATCTCCTGAATTTTATGATTGAGTGTGTGTGTGTGTGTGTGTGTGTGTGTGTGTGTGTGTGTGTGTGTGTGTGTGTGTGTGTGTGTGTGAGAGTGTGTGTGTGTGTGTGTGTGTGTGTGTGTGTGTGTGTTATACCTACTAAGCCACAACTTTGAATTTGCCTCTACGATCACTTTTCCGTAACTTTATCCATTTATATGCGTCTCGTTCGCCAGAGATGATCTTCCAAACATATGTTCGCCCAACTACCTCTCTACTTCATCCTTATCTCCTTCTATGTCTCACTGTACACTCTGCCAGTTCCACTTAATATTATGTACGTTGTTATCATATCTCCTCGTGTCCTATCGTTCATTAAAAGTATTTGGGTTAAGTTCTCCCAGTCGTTCGTTACGAGCGAGCAAACTCCTTCACGATTTTTTAAAATCTATCTCTTGATATTTGTTTTCTAATTTTATTTTCGGACGTTAAGGGAAGCCGCATGCATACTCGAGGCTCGGTCTCACGTAGGTTGCGTGTACAGGGTTCTTAAAGTTTCCTTGTCTGTATGCTCCAAGAAACAAATACCGAACATTTGTTAAGTAAGCATTTAATGACACGCATTCATTGACACAGTTGACAAATAGTCTATCGTATTTCGGTACACAAATTTAATATAGCCCATTGGGACAATATACTCTCTTACCTTTAAGTAGATAATGGGACAATATTTTGTACTATACGCCTGAGTAGACAATGGTCAATATTCCATCATATTCTGCTACAATGAAACGACCAGAATGATTTAGTAATGAATATTTCAATTTTTTTTTTTGTAGTCACATTTAGGGCTTAATTTTATCTCCATTTTTAATTTAGTTTAATAACAATAACTTCCTCCCTAAAATCCCTCCACGTGTTTTAGCTGACGGAAAACTACTGAAATAGGAAACCGAAATTGCTCAGGTGAGTTCCTGAATATATTAATACAGTTTCAGAAGCAATTACCTTGAATATGACAGGTTGAATATATTGGAAATAACGTTGTTAAAGCCGGAATAACCCGGTAAATTATGTAACTAATGTGTGTAAAAATTATGTAACTAATGTGTGTAAAAATTACACACATAACCTCTGGGCAAGGAGCGTTCACGTGGAACAGTAGCTTGTAATATTTTATTTTACGACGAATACGTTAAAAATGTTACGAGTTAATTAAAAATTTATAATCACTATAATACTTACGTTTATTTATGCATTATCAGTGACCAAAAAGGTGCCTTAAAGGTTGTTATGTAGCTAAATATTACAGCCATAAGAACGTTTAGTTAACTAACCTTTTATCGGCTCAGGTAATTTGGTCTTACACGGCAACGTGCCTCCACGTGTAGAGAAGTGGAGGCTTCCAGTGGTGTAGCCTCCACGTGTAGCGGAGTGGAGGCTGCCAGTGGTGTAGCCTCCACGTGTAGCGGAGTGGAGGCTGCCAGTGGTGTAGCCTCCACGTGTAGCGGAGTGGAGGCTTCCAGTGATGTAGCCTCCACGTGTAGCAGAGTGGAGGCTGCCAGTGGTGTAGCCTCCACGTGTAGCGGAGTGGAGGCTTCCAGTGGTGTAGCCTCCACGTGTAGCGGAGTGGAGGCTGCCAGTGGTGTAGCCTCCACGTGTAGCGGAGTGGAGGCTTCCAGTGGTGTAGCCTCCACGTGTAGCGGAGTGGAGGCTTCCAGTGGTGTAGCCTCCACGTGTAGCGGAGTGGAGGCTTCCAGTGGTGTAGCCTCCACGTGTAGCGGAGTGAAGGCTTCCAGTGGTGTAGCCTCCACGTGTAGCGGAGTGGAGGCTTCCAGTGGTGTAGCCTCGACGTGTAGCGGAGTGGAGGCTTCCGCTTCCAGTGGTGTAGCCTCGACAGGTAGCGGAGTGGAGGCTTCCAGTGGTGTAGCCTCCACGTGTAGCGGAGTGGAGGCTTCCAGTGGTGTAGCCTCGACGTGTAGCGGAGTGGAGGCTTCCAGTGGTGTAGCCCCAACGTGTAGCAGAGTGGAGGCTGCCAGTGGTGTAGCCTCCACGTGTAGCAGAGTGGAGGCTACCAGTGGTGTAGCCTCTACGTGTAGCGGAGTGGAGGCTTCCAGTTGTGTAGCCTCCACGTGTAGCAGAGTGGAGGCTGCCAGTGGTGTAGCCTCCACGTGTAGCGGAGTGGAGGCTACCAGTGGTGTAGCCTCCACGTGTAGCGGAGTGGAGGCTTCCAGTGGTGTAGCCTCCACGTGTAGCGGAGTGAAGGCTTCCAGTGGTGTAGCCTCCACGTGTAGCGGAGTGGAGGCTTCCAGTGGTGTAGCCTCGACGTGTAGCGGAGTGGAGGCTTCCAGTGGTGTAGCCTCGACGTGTAGCGGAGTGGAGGCTTCCAGTGGTGTAGCCTCCACGTGTAGCGGAGTGGAGGCTTCCAGTGGTGTAGCCTCCACGTGTAGCGGAGTGGAGGCTTCCAGTGATGTAGCCTCGACGTGTAGCGGAGTGGAGGCTTCCAGTGGTGTAGCCCCCACGTGTAGCAGAGTGGAGGCTGCCAGTGGTGTAGCCTCCACGTGTAGCAGAGTGGAGGCTACCAGTGGTGTAGCCTCTACGTGTAGCGGAGTGGAGGCTTCGAGTTGTGTAGCCTCCACGTGTAGCAGAGTGGAGGCTGCCAGTGGTGTAGCCTCCACGTGTAGCGGAGTGGAGGCTACCAGTGGTGTAGCCTCCACGTGTAGCGGAGTGGAGGCTACGAGTGGTGTAGCCTCCACGTGTAGCAGAGTGGAGGCTACCAGTGGTGTAGCCTCTACGTGTAGCGGAGTGGAGGCTACGAGTGGTGTAGCCTCCACGTGTGGCAGAGTGGAGGCTACCAGTGGTGTAGCCTCCACGTGTAGCGGAGTGGGGGCTACGAGTGGTGTAGCCTCCACGTGTAGCAGAGTGGAGGCTTCCAGTGGTGTAGCCTCCACGTGTAGCGGAGTGGAGGCTACGAGTGGTGTAGCCTCCACGTGTAGCAGAGTGGAGGCTACCAGAGACGGCTCCCTTGAGATGTTCTGTAAGACACAATCCCTTTCACTAGGCTAATTGGATTGCACCAATAGTTCCTCAGTGCCATCAACGCCGTTGCTCAACATAGACGTCCCGGCCGTCTTGTGGTTGCACAGAGCTCCGGGAACTGATAACCTCGTCCTTCCCTTCACAGTATTCACTCTACACCCGTCTCTGTGCACAGCGCCTTCGCAAAAGTGGTTCCTCATCGGCACTCGGTGAAGAATAATTTCTTTCTCTGCTGCTACCTGGAAGTTCATTCACGGTCTTGGTGGTTATTTGCTCTTCCTGATTGGCTTGTTAATCCAGTCATGTGCGCCACAAGTGGATTTTTTTTAGGTTCCCAGGACAAACTATGTATTTACAGTGCAGGTTCAGAATACATTTAGGAATTAACATAACACGATTCTGAATAAAGGAGTCAAAATGTCGTTGATCTGGAAACTGTAACCAACATGTCATTGTCCTGGCTTCACTATAGCATATACAAAGAGGTAGGTAATTTAGCGGGAGAGATCTGTGAGCCACTTTCCTTTTCAGTACGAGCCAGTGTGAACATTGTTTAAGAAACTATCATCAAACCAATATCCCAGAACACTGCAACTTCTTAGATAATCATTGATTCTAAAGGCTCGATTGAGCTATATAGTCGTAAGGGCTTAGTGCTTTCTCCTAATAATTACCTTAGGCCCGTATGTTTATCAACCTGTGTCTTAACAATCATGACAAGTGAAGATATTTGGCATTATGTTTCGCTGGTAAATAAGAGGCATAATATGCAATGCACAAAATGTTTAATTACGTAGGACAGTTTATTCAGGCAGACAGACAGACTTTTTCCAAAGTTGACCAAAAAATAGTACAGCTTTGGACTGGTGTCTCCTTACACACAGACGATAATGGTCCTGTCACTGTTACAGAGCTGCAGTAACTCTCAGTCTTCAGTTCTCAGTCTTGTTGCAGCCTGCTTCCTTGCTCAGGCAGTGTACTTGCTTCATGTTGAAAGGTGCTTGCTTTATGTTGCAAGGTGCTTGATTCCTGTTGCAAGGAGTTTGATTCTTGTTGCAGTGAACTAGCTTTTTTCTTGAACTAGCTTTTTTCTTGAACTAGCTTCTAACTTCTAGCTTCTAAGAACTAGCTTCATGAACTAGCTTCATGTTGCAGTGTACCACCCACCTTATTGTGTAGGTTCAGGTTTTTATAGCAATTGCAACTGATCCGGATCATTTTGAAGCACACCAAGGTCCTGTGTAAGAAAACTCAAGTCCTGTTGAAGGAAATCCATGTAAAGTTGAAGTGTGTCCGGGTTCTGATGAAATGTACCCAGGTTCAATTGACGAGTACCTATTCGAGTCCAGTTCAGGCGAATGAGATCTGGTTGAACCAAACCCGGGTTAATTTAAACCAGTTTACCTGATAGTGTTGAAAGGAAGCCGAACCCTTGTGATGTCTTGCTGGATTGAATGATTTAAAACTACTCTCCGACGCTCCTATGAAGTGTGGAAACGACTGAATCATTGATAGTAAAACGTGGGTTGGTAGGTCCGTAGACTTTGAGGTAGTTCTTGTCCTTCACACTTTGCTGTGAGGCGCCGCTCAATCAGCGTGTCATGCATGCAGCCGGCATGTTCCAGGAACAGATATGTTGGGTCCCGGAAGATGGTGAGCTATTCCTGGCCAGGATGAAGCCAGATAGAACTCGGGTGGAGGGCCGTATTCTGACGTGGATATTGCAGTGTGGGTATTTTAGTAGGGAGTGTGTGTGTTGTCGTGTAGTTCTGTGTGGATGCTGTGGGCTGCGTGTGTGTGTGTGTGTGTGAGTGTGTAGATGCTGAAGGGTACACGGGGGTTGTGGATTTTGCGGAGTGTGTGTGTGTGTGTAAGTGCGTGTGTGTGTTTACTAGTTGTGTTTTTGCGGGGGTTGAGCTTTGCTCTTTCGGCCCGCCTCTCAACTGTCAATCAACTGTTTACTAACTACTTTTTTTTTTTTTTTTTCTCCACACCACACACACACACACACCCCAGGAAGCAGCCCGTGACAGCTGACTAACTCCCAGGTACCTATTTACTGCTAGGTAACAGGGGCACTTAGGGTGAAAGAAACTTGCCCATTTGTTTCTGCCTCGTGCGGGAATCGAACCCGCGCCACAGAATTACGAGTCCTGCGCGCTATCCACCAGGCTACGAGGCCCCCATACCAGGCTACGAGGCCCCCATTATGTGTGTGTGTGTGTGTGTGTGTGTGTGTGTGTGTGTGTGTATGTGTGTGTGTGAGTGCGTGTGTGTGTGTGTGTGTGTGTGTGTGTATGTGTGTGTGTGTGTGTGTGTGTGTGTGTGTGTGTGTGTGTGTGTGTGTGTGTGTGTGTGTGTGTGTGTGTGTGAGTGTGCGTGAGACACTTCAGTGATGTGATCATGACGAACTTTTAAACCTTGTTGGAAGACAGGAAATATTATCTGAACCTGCTACTTATGTGCATAAATATGTGTTATCAAGCAGTACATACCTATCAGTATTTAAAGGACTTCAGCTCTTGGCTTGAGCTCTTGGGACTCTGCCAGCTGTTAGTCATTTGACACGTTATCTCTCTATCCCTGGCCCCCCCCCCCCCCCACCGTGCTTTTTCTTATTTCTAGTTGTCAATTTATGGATTTATGGCTGGAGGCAGCCTTGACTTTTTCCCTGACTGGTTCGTTCCTCTTGCTTACTACCATTAAAATTAAGAATATTTTCCTCACAATCATTTCATGTATGATAATATGTTACGTTATTTCTCTGCAAAAGCATCTGTTTTCTGTTTGATCGATATCAATGAGTATTTTATATGTCTGGAACATATTCCCTCTTTCGCATTCTAATGTCGTCTGTCTGTCTGTTGTAGGGGGATTAGTAGAGTTATAGGTAGATATAGACTTATAGGATATAGACTTATAGGTAGATTATAGACTTATAGGACTTAAAGGTAGACTTATAGTCACCTAGATGGTCACGCTTGGATGAGCTTGTAGAATCGTGTTTCAACTCCAAACTCCCATAATTGGAAATATTTATTAGACAATGGTACTAGAACAATGAATGGGGTTGAAAACTCCTCTCTGGGCACCCCAGAACTCCATCACTTTGCCTTGATTTTACTGTATGTTAAAGTTCATGTTTTCTTCAACCGCTTCTATATACGTCTAACCCATAACACATATTTGCAACACTAACATTGACGAAATTATTTCTGGTATTTCTGTGACTGATCTGTGTCCAGAGAGCATGCCAACATCTGTGCTCAACACCTCCATACCTCTCCTGTGTTTTCTCTACCACATATGTTGATAGCAATCCTCAATCAACGCTTCTGTTGTTTGTGCCAACATAATCAGGTATGGAGAGCAATTAGTTACTCGTGTAGCAAACTGTGCACTCTTGTACAGAGTTGAAGTACAGCGATTAGCCGGGACATTATACAATGATTAGTCTGGACATTATACAAAGATTAGTCTGGACATTATACAATGATTAGTCTGGACATTATACAAAGATTAGTCTGGACATTATGCAATGATTAGTCTGGACATTATACAAAGATTAGTCTGGACATTATACAATGATTAGTCTGGACATTATACAATGATTAGTCTGGACATTATACAATGATTAGTCTGGACATTATACAATGATTAGTCTGGACATTATACAATGATTAGTCTGGACATTATACAATGATTAGTCTGGACATTATACAATGATTAGTCTGGACATTATACAATGATTAGTCTGGACATTATACAATGATTAGTCTGGACATTGAACAATGATTATCCCGGACACTGGTTGACTCATCACTGGATTAACCAGGTGATGAACACTATTTACCATATTAACATAACTGACGGCTAGCGTCATCAAATGTCTCAGACGTTCACAGTTAATACGTCGTTCGTGTATAACTTTCACAAGACTATTTGACACTGATTTTTCACCTGAAATGCGAGACAGGTTTAACAGACAGGACTGCAGACTTACAACTGTCTCAACGTCGAGGACCGTAACACAGCCGTTCCCCGTGACATACGGTAACCTGAATCACCATATGTCGTGTTAATACACGTGGGAACGTATCAACGGGCAACTGTTCACTGACAAATTCGATGGTGCTGACTCGCAAGATGTTCTGACCGCCGGCCAAGATGATATCTTAATTGATTATCCCGATATTGTCGAACTGGATATTTCAGACCACAGATAAATTTCAGAATCTTGGTCTGAACTTGCCCGCAGTGCATTCCTCAGCCAGAGGGAGTCTGGCTGAGGAAGTCTTGCTCAGGGAATCTTATCTGAGTGGAGTCTTAGAGGAAGTCTTATCTGCTTTCCTAGGAAATAAAACTGAATATATTTTTGTTTTCATCCTCCTACACTTTGAATAACCCTGGCTGTCCTACAAAGCCGATTCTCTCATGAGTGGTGTATATATTCACGGACCACACACACACACACACACACACACACACACACACACACACACATACACACGCACACACACGCACACACACACAGTGTCCATTTCAGTGTCAGAGTAGTTAGTAAATGGGATGCATTAGGCAGTGATGTGGTGGAGGCTGACTCCATACACAATATCAAATGTAGATTTGACAGAGCCCAATAGGCTCAGGAGTCTGTACACCAGTTGATTGTCAGTTGAGAGGCGGGACTAAAGAGCCAGAGCTCAACCCCCGCAAGCACAAACAAGTGAGTATAGATGAGTACACCCACACACACACACACACACACACACACACCAGTGGACATATCCGTGAGAAGTGTTCAACATCGCCTCATTGAACATAGCTCATACATCTCTGCTGCCCTTCACAGCCTCCCAGATAACACGAGGAGTCGCTTTAACAATATTTCCTTCTCCTTGATGCTACTCATGCCGCGCATCTCCTCTATAAAATTCTGTTTTCTGAATACTTATTCTTCTGTTTTTTTGTATTAACGTACTTAAAAACATGCTTGCTTATACAGCTATCATAAACTACATGATGGGTTAGGTAGTTTGTGTCAAGAGCTGTTTATGTGATACTAAAGATCTCCATCTTGTTGGAGGATTAGTCATAGAGCGACATGTAAACACACGTCTGGAATAATGTACCATTTTTTCCCCAAAAATTCTGTGCTTTCACAATTCTTCTGATACATTTATCTACAGAAAATAAAATGTCTGTCTCTCTTTCTTCTTATCTGTCAGTCTGTCCAAGGTAGAAGGCAAGACACTTGGGGCTAGCTTCGTCCACTTTTTCACGGTAATTGATGATGGGTACGTGCCCAACATGGGCGGATTACATTTGACATCATTGAAAAGCAGGCTTCATGACTCGGTGTCAAAGCTACCTCCACGACGAATCTTGCACTCTGCTTGGCTTCTGATTTGTTCTTGCCATGTTGTAAACCATGATGCACTGCTCAGGCTAAAATTAAAAACAAATTAAATCATAATAATTTCTTTTTAAAGGATGAATAAACTTTGACGTCATATTTTCCCTTAGACTATCTGGACTAACGTTAACGAGACGTGTGGTGGTCTTCGTTAATATAGTATCGACTGTGTGAAGTGGTCTTATTGTCTTAATAGCAATAATATGATGAACAACTCTGTGTAGAGCAGTGAATGCTTACATACGACTGGTTGTTCTGAGAGAGAAAGACACTTGGAGAAAGAGAGAGAGAGAGAGAGAGAGAGAGAGAGAGAGAGAGAGAGAGAGAGAGAGAGAGAGAGAGAGAGAGAGAGAGAGAGAGAGAGAGAGAGAGAGGAAGAGAGGGAAGAGACTGTGAGTGAGACAAACAGACAGCCCCTTTCATCGCCTGATAACCCATCTGGTAAACAAATGATTATAAATAAAATACATGCAATAAATAATATAATTAAGACCACAGGATAGATACAGTAACTGCAGTTACTTTATTATACAACCTTCAGAGGGTCTGAAGGTTCTATAATGCTTGCTGCATGGATATTCAATAATGTAGTGTGTGAGATAATGAGCCAGTTCCTGCTGGCAGTATTACACCTGGAGAGCCCAGGAGTGAGATATTGTCCACCTGTTGCCACCTGCCACAATTAGCGACCCCTAACCTGATCATAGCAATAACTATATCACACAGTCTGGAGAACATTATGTGCGTCAAATTATATATATATATATAAATATGTATATATATATATATATATATATATATATATATATATATATATATATATATATATATATATATATATATATATATGTCGTACCTAGTAGCCAGAACGCACTTCTCAGCCTACTATGCAAGGCTCGATTTGCCTAATAAGCCAAGTTTTCCTGAATTAATATATTTTCTCTAATTTTTTTCTTATGAAATGATACAGCTACCCATTTCATTATGTATGAAGTCAATTTTTTTTCATTGGAGTTAAAATTAACGTAGATATATGACCGAACCTAACCAACCCTACCTAACCTAACTTAACCTATATTTATAGGTAAGGTTAGGTTAGGTAGCCAAAAAAAGCTAGGTTAGGTTAGGTTAGGAAGGTTAGGTAGACGAAAAAACATTAATTCATGATAACTTGGCTTATTAGGCAAATCGGGCCTTGAATAGTAGGCTGAGAAGTGCGTTCTGGCTATTAGGTACGACATATATATATATATATAGTATATTATATATATATATATATATAATATACATTATATAATATGTATATATATATAATATATATACATATTATATATATATGTATATATATATATATATACATATATATATATATATATATATATATATATATATATATATATATATATATATATATATATATATATATATATATATATATATATATATTTGGGGTACCATCTTTGGTGGAATTGTAGGGACCCATAGCCTCGAAGAAGGGAACACAGAGCATTCAGAGAAAAAATTGCCATATAACTCTGAATACGTATGAGTGATGTCTTACTCCTAGGTACCTATTTACTCCTAGGTGAACAGGTGCATCAAGGTGAAAGAAACTTTGCCAATTTCTTTCCGCCTTAGCCGGGAATTGAAGCCGAGCCAGTAGGACTATGACCCCCGAGCGCTATCCACTCAACCGCGAGGCCCCCCGTGTGTGTGTGTGTGTGTGTGTGTGTGTGTGTGTGTGTGTGTGTGTGTGTGTGTGTGTGTGTGTGTGGGTACTCACCTAATTGTGCTTACAGGGGTTGAGCTCTGCTCTTTCCGCCCGCCTCTCAACTGTCAATCAATCAACTGTTACTAACTGCTAACTTATTTTTTTCCCCCACCAACTCATGTACACGCACACACACACACACACACATCTAGGAAGCAACCCGTAACAGCTGTCTAACTCCCAGGTACCTATCTACTGCTAGGTAACAGGTCATCAGGGTGAAAGAAACTCTGACCATATGTCTCTGCCGACGCCGGGAATCGAACCCGGGCCACAAGATTACGAGTCCCCGTGCGCTGTCCACTCAGCTAACAGTCCCCTTAGTGTGTGTCTGTGTGTGTTGTTCGTGTGTGTGTGTGTGTGTGTGTATATAATGGTATCAGATCGAAACAAATTATAGCTTGTTCAAGTGCTTTCAGGCTTTTGAGAGTCTGTAATATCCTCTACTATCAGATCTGAATGATTGTAGAGTTATCAAAAGTAGGAGGATGAAAATTCTACGGTGATTACACTTCTCGTTTCAATACAAACTCAAAAAATTTCCTCATCCCTCTTTCTTGAGGTTATCTTGAGATGATTTCGGGGCTTTAGTGTCCCCGCGGCCCGGTCCTCGACCAGGCCTATACCCCCGAGGAAGCTGCCCGGGACAGCTGACTAACACCCAGGTACCTATTTTACTGCTAGGTAACAGGGGCATAGGGTGAAAGAAACTCTGCCCATTGTTTCTTGCCGGCGCCTGGGATCGAACCCAGGACCATAGGATCACAAGTCCAGCGTGCTGTCCGCTCGGCCGACCGGCTCTATGCTGCTGAAAACTAACATTTTTGTCAACAGCTTTGCATCATTCAAGAATTTTGACACGAAATCTTCTTCTGTAAGGTCAGTGGCATAGACACGGAAATATTCTTTATTATAGTGTCATATCGCCCCAAACTGTCAGAATCAAGCTGACCCAATTAACCTATCGAAACTGATATTAATTATCAACAGAAAGCATCAATAATTCGGTGCTTTTATATTGCATAAAACAGCCGCAAATTTTACGGTGCTTGCGATTGCGTAAAAAATTTCGTAATTCCGATTGCGTTCGGCAAGAGGATGAGTTGCTTTAGGGAACATTATGTACACTCGTGCAGGCGATGAGTCACAATAACGTGGCTAAAGTATGTTGACCAGACCACACACTAGAAGGTGAAGGGACGACGACGTTTCGGTCCGTCCTGGACCATTCTCAAGTCAATTGTCTTGAGAATGGTCCAGGATGGACCGAAACGTCGTCGTCCCTTCACCTTCTAGTGTGGTTTGGTCAACGACACTCGTGTAGATTTCCTATATTGCGGCAGTAATAATTATAATAATAAAATACAGAGTAATCTTTATTAAATAGACGATAATTGAGTATTTCTTAAATAATAATTATTAAAAGCCAATAACAGTAAATACAAATTATGTTCAAACTAAATTTTGTTATTTTTAATAATCAATAATAGTTATTAAATAAACACTAATAAACACTATTCCAATATTATCGAGGTTTTTCCCTAATATTTCCAAGACGAGTAGAAATTCTGCTTTCTCCCAGCTCTTTAGAGACATCTGTCCCTCGATTAAATCCTTTGGGGGGAATCTGATTCCTTTGACAACCATGCCTTCTGTCTCTTTGATTTCGTATTGGCGTCTTGGATCATAGCTAGAAATTAAGAAAGAAATCTGGACCCCGTTGTGATAGAGGCAGATACAAGAGCTTATTTCTCTTGAGTCCAAAAGCACTATTAGGTAAAGAGTATCAGCCAAGCGCACACACACACATACACAAACACACACACACACACACACACACACACACACACACACACACACACACACACACACACACACACACACACACACACACACACCTACACCTACACACACACACACACACACACACACACACACACACACACACACACACACACACACACACACACACACACACACACACACACACACGTGACCTGCAGCTTAAACAGGCGGAAAATTAATTAAGAGATTGTTAAAGACTTGTGAATAATTATCCTGGCGGCCATGATGGTGGTGGAACACAAATGATGACTTATTTGTCAGCTGGTGTTTGTTTACGTGGGTCAGCTGGTGTTTGTTTACGTGGGTCAGCTGATGTTTGTTTACGTGGGTCAGCTGGTGTTTGTTTACGTGGGTCAGCTGATGTTTGTTTACGTGGGTCAGCTGGGGTTTGTTTACGTGGGTCAGCTGGGTTTGTTTACGTGGGTCAGCTGGTGTTTGTTTACGTGGGTCAGCTGATGTTTGTTTACGTGGGTCAGCTGGGGTTTGTTTACGTGGGTCAGCTGGGGTTTGTTTACGTGGGTCAGCTGGTGTTTGTTTACGTGGGTCAGCTGGTGTTTGTTTACGTGGGTCAGCTGGTGTTTGTTTACGTGGGTCAGCTGGGGTTTGTTTACGTGGGTCAGCTGGGGTTTGTTTACGTGGGTCAGCTGGTGTTTGTTTACGTGGGTCAGCTGGTGTTTGTTTACGTGGGTCAGCTGGTGTTTGTTTACGTGGGTCAGCTGGTGTTTGTTTACGTGGGTCAGCTGGGGTTTGTTTACGTGGGTCAGCTGGGGTTTGTTTACGTGGGTCAGCTGGTGTTTGTTTACGTGGGTCAGCTGATGTTTGTTTACGTGGGTCAGCTGGTGTTTGTTTACGTGGGTCAGCTGGTGTTTGTTTACGTGGGTCAGCTGGTGTTTGTTTACGTGGGTCAGCTGGTGTTTGTTTACGTGGGTCAGCTGGTGTTTGTTTACGTGGGTCAGCTGGGGTTTGTTTACGTGGGTCAGCTGGGGTTTGTTTACGTGGGTCAGCTGGTGTTTGTTTACGTGGGTCAGCTGATGTTTGTTTACGTGGGTCAGCTGGGGTTTGTTTACGTGGGTCAGCTGGTGTTTGTTTACGTGGGTCAGCTGATGTTTGTTTACGTTGGTCAGCTGGGATTTGTTTACGTGGGTCAGCTGGGGTTTGTTTACGTGGGTCAGCTGGTGTTTGTTTACGTGGGTCAGCTGATGTTTGTTTACGTGGGTCAGCTGGGGTTTGTTTACGTGGGTCAGCTGGTGTTTGTTTACGTGGGTCAGCTGGTGTTTGTTTACGTGGGTCAGCTGGTGTTTGTTTACGTGGGTCAGCTGGTGTTTGTTTACGTGGGTCAGCTGGGGTTTGTTTACGTGGGTCAGCTGGGGTTTGTTTACGTGGGTCAGCTGGGGTTTGTTTACGTGGGTCAGTTGGTGTTTGTTTACGTGGGTCAGCTGGTGTTTGTTTACGTGGGTCAGCTGGGTTTTGTTTACGTGGGTCAGCTGGGGTTTGTTTACGTGGGTCAGCTGGTGTTTGTTTACGTGGGTCAGCTGGGGTTTGTTTACGTGGGTCAGCTGGGGTTTGTTTACGTGGGTCAGCTGGGGTTTGTTTACGTGGGTCAGCTGGTGTTTGTTTACGTGGGTCAGCTGGGGTTTGTTTACGTGGGTCAGCTGGTGTTTGTTTACGTGGGTCAGCTGGGGCTTGTTTACGTGGGTCAGCTGGGGTTTGTTTACGTGGGTCAGCTGGTGTTTGTTTACGTGGGTCAGCTGGGGTTTGTTTACGTGGGTCAGCTGATGTTTACGTGGGTCAGCTGATGTTTGTTTACGTGGGTCAGCTGGGGTTTGTTTACGTGGGTCAGCTGGTGTTTGTTTACGTGGGTCAGCTGGGGTTTGTTTACGTGGGTCAGCTGGTGTTTGTTTACGTGGGTCAGCTGATGTTTGTTTACGTGGGTCAGCTGATGTTTGTTTACGTGGGTCAGCTGGGGTTTGTTTACGTGGGTCAGCTGATGTTTGTTTACGTGGGTCAGCTGATGTTTGTTTACGTGGGTCAGATGATGATTGTTTATATTTATCATCCGAGGCCTCTTGTGTCTTATGCATTTTACATGTTTCAACTGATTTATAGTTATGTATATCAGCTGTGTTTTGATTATGCATATTAATCGATATTTTCATGTGTTACCTAATTCCATATTTGATGTCATTTCTTATATGCAAATATGTATCATCTGATGTTTGCTATAATGTTTGCTATATTCTGTGATGTTCAAACACATATGTGTTTAGTTGATGTTTGGTTTCGGCAGTCTGCAAGTAGAAGGTTGTTAATGAAAAGAGGTGATTGTCGGTGTTACCATTTGATTGTTGGTGTAAACATTTGATTGTTAGTGTAAACAAAATATTACTATTGTGACAACACTTAATGTATAAATTGCTTTGTTAATTAGTTTCAAGAAATATTCTATTTGAGTTCGTGTGTACTCACCTAATTGTACTCACCTAATTGTGCTTGCAGGGGTTGAGCTTTGGCTCTTTGGTCCCGCTTCTCAACTGTCAATCAACTGGTGTACAGGTTCCTGAGCCTATTGGGCTCTATCATATCTACATTTGAAACTGTGTATGGAGTCAGCCTCCACCACATCACTTCCTAGTGCATTCCATTTACTAACTACTCTGACACTGGAAAAGTTCTTTCTAACGTCTCTGTGGCTCATCTGGGTACTAAGTTTCCACCTGTGTCCCCTTGTTCGTGTCCCACCCGTGCTGAAGAGTTTGTCTTTGTCCACCCTGTCAATTCCCCTGAGAATTTTGTAGGTGGTTATCATGTCTCCTCTTACTCTTCTGTTTTCCAGGGATGTGAGGTTTAGCTTCTTTAGCCTTTCCTCGTAGCTCATTCCTCGCATTTCCGGGACGAGCCTGATGGCATACCGCTGAATCTTCTCTAACTTTGTCTTGTGTTTAACTAGTATGGACTCCAGGCTGGAGCTGCATACTCCAGGATTGGTCTTACATAAGTGGTATACAGGGTCCTGCGTGTGTTTCAAAACACACGCAATTTTTAATATTGTTCGATCTCTCCTGTTTTTGTCATCGCTGTGAGTGTGTGTGTGTGTGTGTGTGTGTGTGTGTGTGTGTGTGTGTGTTTACTAGTTGTGTTTTGCGGGGGTTGAGCTTTGCTCTTTCGGCCCGCCTCTCAACTGTCAATCAACTGTTTACTAACTACTTTTTTTTTTCCCCACACCACACACACACACCCCCAGGAAGCAGCCCGTGACAGCTGACTAACTCCCAGGTACCTATTTACTGCTAGGTAACAGGGGCACTTAGGGTGAAAGAATCTTTGCCCATTTGTTTCTGCCTCGTGCGGGAATCGAACCCGCGCCACAGAATTACGAGTCCTGCGCGCTATCCACCAGGCTACGAGGCCCCGTGTGTGTGTGTGTGTGTGTGTGTGTGTGTGGCTTACAGCAGATGGTTGAGCCTGTTCCATTTGATGTTAGATTTTGTGAGTCGATAATTAATACAGTGGGCTATCACGGCTTTTTATCAGTGTCCTGTATATGTATCTGGAACATGTATCCTGTATGTATGTGTATCCTGCCTGTGTATCCTAGCTTCGTATCACCTAAGCAATTATCTGCCTCAGTGGTCTCTCTCTGAACAGACGCTACGTGGCGCTGGTAGAGAAATATCTGAAATAAATTTCCGATTATTGAGTTCTAAAAATCTATCAGTTTTTCACGCACATATTTTCCAGGAGTTGGAGTAGAAATACTTTGACAAAAATTGAGAATGTCCTTCCTTGCTTCATAAGCCGTAATGGATTACATTTAGAAATATTTAATTTTGTAACGAGGGGAGTCTTCATTGCATCCATTAACTAATGGGTTTATTATCTATTTATATATATATATATATATATATATATATATATATATATATATATATATATATATATATATATATATATATATATATACACACACAATAGTCGCCTGCATCAGACATCATTAGAACTGGATACCCGTCAACAACTGTACTCATTACCATGGATAGGTTGTTATCCCGCTCTAACTGCCTCGTTAATGCCGTTAAAGTTATTTACTCAAGTGCGGTCACCTCGCTTCTTCCAACAAACAGCTTTGATGTCTGATCTGCAAAGCCAATAAAGCCATTCACGCAGAATACTGTAATTAAGGGTTTTATGAGCCAATCAGCGACCGCCTTGAGTGGTTTAGTTTGGCTAGTTAGCGTCGAACGAGGGAGTCAGAGCGGCTGAAAGTTATGGTCATTACACCGAGACGCTAATTGCTCGTTAGGTTAGTAATTACCGGTTATTTTGATGCTTGAAATAACGCGAGATTGTGGTGGCTATTGAGTAGATAAAAGTCACTTACGTGTTGAGAGGTTTTATGGTTTGGCTCCGACTGTTGTAAGGGAGGTTATCTTATTCAGCTTAGTCAGGAGGAGGAGATATCCTTACTCAGGTGAAAGGATATCTTACTCAGCTTACTCAGGGGAGAAGGTATCCACCCCTGATATCACACAGCTGACGTTGTGTCATGCTTACTGAGTAGGTTGAATCCCAGAGCCGCTGAGGGTGGAATGCTCACTCAGTGGCCCGGTTCTGTACCACAGTGCGGTGTTGCCACATCGTGGTTACAACAGTTGGTGCGAACCATTTCCCGCCACACCGCTCCGTCAAGGGTGTGCCGCTCTACCCTCCGAAACCAGCCCATCCCCCCCCCCCCCCCCGTCCTCTCGAGCGTCTACAACGTCACTAAACTGATGTACTAAATAGCCCGAACCTAACCTAACGGAGCCCCCCCCCCCCCCAAGGAATAGAAAACGGGACGTCAAGTCAATTTAGCGGTCCACAGAGGTTTGACCTTAAACAGCTATAGCTGCATCAAACGAACAATTAGCCCCCGTTGCACATGCCCGAGCTAATCACCGTATCGTACATAACAGCATTTCATTCCCCTGCAACACTCGGGGCCACGAACTACCGGCCACATGGATAGTATAGCCAGCCGCTCTACCTACTGAGCCATCAACACCTCGAAGCTACCCTCTGGAGAGCTACCTTCTAGTGGATATAGAGAGAGACAGCAAAATAGAGAGATATCTAGAGAGATAGCTAGACAGAGAGATGGTTATCGGGAGATCTAGAGAGCTCAATAGATAGCAAGTTCGATAGAGTTAGATAGATTTAGACACTCATTTTGTGAGCATTCATGTTCCGAGCACCCATTCTTGTGAGCGCCCATTCTTGTGAGCGCCCATTCTTGTGAGCGCCCATCATCCAGGCACACCGAGCTATAAACTCTCCTAAATAACACAGTACCTGTAAACCTTCATCGTGGATAATGCTGAATAAACCCTGAGTAAACCCGACAACCCCTCCCCCCCCCCCACAACCCCCCCCCTCCCACCATCCATGCTAATATGATCAGCCCTCGACGGTAAGGTGATAACTCAGTTATCGCCTGATGAACAGTCTTCACTCCCAATAGCTGCAATGCGCCAGCTGCAACACGACTATTGCAACCCATCTACTACAACACATCTACTACAACACATCTACTACAACACATCTACTACAACACATCTACTGCAACACATCTACTGCAACACATCTACTACAACACATCTACAACACATCTACTACAACACATCTACTACAACACATCTACTACAACACATCTACTGCAACACATCTACTGCAACACACCTACTGCAACACATCTACTGCAACACATCTACTGCAACCCATCTACTGCACCCCATCTACTGCAACACATCTACTGCAACGCATCTACTGCAACACATCTACTGCAACACATCTACTACAACACATCTACTGCAACACATCTACTGCAACACATCTACTGCAACACATCTACTACAACACATCTACTGCAACACATCTACTGCAACCCATCTACTACAACACATCTACTGCAACACATCTACTGCAACACATCTACTACAACCCATCTACTGCAACACATCTACTGCAACACATCTACTGCAACACATCTACTGCAACACATCTACTGCAACACATCTACTACAACACATCTACTACAACACATCTACTACAACACATCTACTACAACACATCTACTGCAACACATCTACTGCAACACATCTACTGCAACACATCTACTACAACACATCTACTACAACACATCTACTACAACACATCTACTACAACACATCTACCGCAACGCGACTGCTACGGCATTGTATAAGTCTAAATATTCGTGTCACACAAAGCAAACATCAGTTCTTAGCCACTTGGATCGAGGAAAACCAATAGGTTTCTGGTTCTTGGTGTTATTGTGATGACAATTAGCTATATGTGATTAATTTGACTTGTGACATTTGAACGTCCGTTTATCTTTGACATTTTTTTTTTTTTGCAATTTTTTTTATTAATTTTTTGTGTGAATTTTTTAGTATACTGACATATGTATATGTTTGCATATGACATATGCATATGTATATGTATATTTCGTATACTGACATATGTATGACATAGACATTTAGTATATGACAATATGACTAGAACATAAGAACAAAGGCAACTGCAGAAGGCCTATTGGCCCATACGAGGCAGCTCCTATCTATGACCACCTAATCCCACTCATATACATGTCCAATCCACGCTTGAAACAATCGTCCAATCCATGCTTGAAACAATCCTCCAATCCATGCTTGAAACAAACGTCCAATCCACGCTTGAAACAATCGGCCAACCCACGCTTGAAACAATCGTCCAATCCACGCTTGAAACAATCGTCCAATCCACGCTTGAAACAATCGTCCAACCCACGCTTGAAACAATCGTCCAATCCACGCTTGAAACAATCGTCCAATCCACGCTTGAAACAATCGTCCAACCCACGCTTGAAACAATCGTCCAATCCACGCTTGAAACAATCGTCCAACCCACGCTTGAAACAATCGTCCAATCCACGCTTGAAACACTCGGCCACACTGACTGTACAAAAGTATGGAAGTTGTCTGACCCTAGAGCCAAGAGTCAGATTCTTGTGGAAAAAATATGTGCCCATCTGTGCCCAAAATGGTCACCGAGAGCTGCCGGGTATCGAGTTAAGGGCCAGATGACTTCCAATACTTTTGTACAGTCAGTGTGGCCGAGTGGTTATAGTACTGGACACGCCATGGGTCATGGAGGCCCAGGCTGACCGGGTTCGAATCCTTCAGGGGTCAAGAGTTTTCTGATGCATGTTGGCTTGGGGACCATTCAACCTTGAAACACACACACACACATATAGAGACCCGGGCGGTGCCGTTGTGATCAGTTATTAACCAGAAAATAGTTTCCCTTGTGTAAGTTGGAGAGATTTAGGAAAAAATAACAATGAAAGTTTCCTTGTTACAGAATACGTAGGTTTAAAATAAACCACAATAGAGTAATTGTCATTTTTAAAACAATGCTTGAATAAGGAAGCGACTTCGGCTATTTTATTCCGACATTTTCAATATAATTCTGTATACTTATAATAATATTAATTCCAATAATAATAATAATAATAGAAATAATAATAAAATATCAATGATAGTAATAATTCAAATAATAATAAAATAATAAAAACCTATAATAACAAAACACAAAAGGTAATGAAACATGTGAAAATAATAATATACCGATATATATGATAACTGTAAAAAAACAGCATTGAAATATGTTTCATATTCGATCGAGGGGTAAATTAATTTACAATATTTTGTAAATTGCAAACTCGTTGACAAATAATTTAGAAGTTAATTACAATTTTATTTCATGATTGTATTCAGTATTGAATGTGGTGTTGGTGGTGGAGTGCGAGATGGAGTTGTTGGAGTGTCATGTGGAGTGTTAGGTGGTAGTGGTGGAGTGGAGAGTGGAGGTGATGGAGTGTTAGGTGGTAGTGGTGGAGTGGAGAGTGGAGGTGATGGAGTGTTAGGTGGTGGTGGTGGAGTGGAGAGTGGAGGTGATGGAGTGTGTGTGGAGGAGGAGGTGAAGGTGGTGGAGTGGAAGATGTAGATGGCTTAGTAGAAAGTGGAGATGATGGTAGAGTATAGTGAGTATAGTGTATAGAGAACAGGTTGAGGTCCTTACTAGTTGAGCACTGGTAGTAGACTCAGTAGAACTCCTGGTTGAGTTTTTAGAGCTCCAGGTTGAATAGCTCTTGTCCTGTCCTGGCCGAGTGGGTTAGGCCAAGTATCTGGTATTCACCAAAACGCTGGTTCGACTCCCCCACATAGTTCCAAATGATGTTCACATTGTTATCTCGAGCAAGTATTATTTCTTATAAGTAAATATGAGTGTGTAATCTAACGTATCCTCATGCCTGCCCAATAACCTCTACCCACCAAGTCTTGCCAGTGAGTTACATTCGAGATTACTAATCATTCGAATGCAATCTGGAGAATCGAGATTACCAGCATCCGAATCATCCATTATCAGCATCCGAGTCTTCACCCTTCAACAGCACAAGAAGATCTACAATCGACTTGAGAATGGTCCAGGACGGACCGAAACGTCGTCGTCCCTTCACATTCTAGTGTGTGGTCTGGTCATCACAGGAAGATCTAGCCGTAATGTGATGAGTGATGGGCCTCAAGGAAGATGATATTCATCTTGTGTGAGTATAAAGGTCGCATGAATCAACGAAGTGTTTTATGGGTTTAGTGAGGTCTTCTAGGTCTCGTTGCTTGCACTCTGAGGCGTCCTTAGAAGATTTGTGACGATCTATGGAAATTCTATTCATCTTGTATTATCATCATATCGGAGTGATTAGAAATTATTTTTGTTCTACAATTCATACCGTACGGTTAATAAAACTGAGCTGCCTCGTATGGGCCAATAGGAGCTGCTTCGTATGGACCAACAGGAGCTGCCTCGTATGGACCAACAGGAGCTGCCTCGTATGGACCAACAGGAGCTGCCTCGTATGGACCAACAGGAGCTGCTTCGTATGGACCAACAGGAGCTGCCTCGTATGGACCAACAGGAGCTTCCTCGTATGGACCAACAGGAGTTTCCTCGTATGGACCAACAGGAGCTGCCTCGTATGGACCAACAGGAGCTGCCTCGTATGGACCAACAGGAGCTTCCTCGTATGGACCAACAGGAGTTTCCTCGTATGGACCAACAGGAGCTGCCTCGTATGGAGCAACAGGAGCTGCCTCGTATGGACCAACAGGAGCTGCCTTGTACAGACCAATAGGCCTCCTGGAGTCTCCTTAATTCTTATGTTCTTATACAGGTATTGGCAACATTTTGCTGACATACTCACTGATGGAGGTCCAGTCATGTTTGGGTCAAGGCCGGATATGTCCAAGGAAAGGTTAAAGCCGAAGTAGGTCATGAAGCAGGTGTGGTAATGAAGCAGGTGTATTATGCTTCAAGCATCGGGAAGCCCTGGCTTTCAAGTCGCTTCCTGCTAGGTGGGGTTCTTGCAATGTTTTCTGGTAGTATCGCGATCGTCAGTTATGTGAAGAGCAATTAAATCGATATATTATTACAGCAAGTGTGTGTCGTGACAAGGAATCCGAACACACTTCCTTGCTCTTTTGTGCATCCGTCAGGTAGTTCATTGTGTGTAGGGGGAAGGGGAGGGGGGGAGGTTCTTGTTCCACTTCTTCATTCTTCGTCAGGTTGTTGATATGTTTCTTGAAGAACAGGGGGAAATGTGACGTGTTAGAGCTGTTCAAATTTGAACACTTTGCGGGGCCTCTACACTTATCTTCTCGACATAGTGGTGTTCTTCATTCACTTGAACTTGAGACTACAAGAAAAGTGATCAAACCTGCTCACCCAAAGTGGGTGAGTACATTATTTTTTTTTTTTTTTTTACAAAGTTGGAGCTCCACAAGAAGAGGGGTCAGTGCGGAGAAATAAATATTTCCATCTTCAAGTTGTTAGTGATGGTCGGCTGCCAAAGACTTTGTCCAAAGAAGTCATGGTTAATTTATTTCAGAATTTCGAATTTCAGAGTTATTTTCCTGATCAACATACTAAATTAGGAAAAAAAACATTCATATGTCAGGTGAATGAAATTTCAGAAGACGCACAAGAAGAGTTAATTCAGTTTAATTCCTGATTCAACAGAAATGAATGTGTTCCAGTCGAACACCCTCGTCTCCACTTTGGTGTTCGATGATGGAATTATGTTGCAGTGGTAAGGTGGTGTTCCCTTACCGTCCACTTCAGCCTGCGTGAAAGGTGGACTTTTCCTGCATCACTTCCACTAGAGGCCACGGGGACCAGGCTGTCTGTCGGGAGGCGACAAACGAAGGACCCTGTGGCTGTCACTGTGCCACAGGGTCACTGTGGCTGTCACTGTGCCACAGGGTCACTGTGGCTGTCACTGTGCCACAGGGTCACTGTGGCTGTCACTGTGCCACAGGGTCATATGAACTGCTTGCTGCTCGAAAACAACAACAGTCCCCACTCTGGAACAGGTGTTTGACAGCTGACTTTTCCAATAGATGCATATTCAATTACAAGCAAACAAAAATAGAGAAGCTTGTGAGTTTGTTGAGTGGTGTTTTATTTTTATTTTTATATGTAAATACATATTTTTTGACGCACAAATAATATTAATTGTATTGTACTCTAATTAAATATATAAAAACACATGAGTGTGTTGTCCCTAATGTCTCTTGTTATCATTAAAATTGGCAGTTTTAACTGAGAATAACAATATAGTGTTTGTGACATATGAACGTATGTATTTGTCGCAGGCATTGTTACACTCAATTTTGCTACCTCGATCTATTTTCCAGAGGGAAACCCCATTGGTGAGACCGTGGTTGTGAGAGCGTAGTTGCATGGGGGGGAGAGGGGTCTCCACAGGCGATAATGTATTTGAAATATATAAAAATATTTAAATTGCCTGAGAATGAGACACGCGTGCAGGCGATGAGTCACAATAACGTGGCTGAAGTATGTTGACCAGACCACACACTAGAAGGTGAAGGGACGACGACGTTTCGGTCCGTCCTGGACCATTCTCAAGTCGATTGTGAACACATGGTTGGAAAGCATTGTCCTGGGTCAACGACTGCCCATTTCTATGATGTAACCCATCACAGTCTCCATATTCTCAAGTACCTATTTACAAATTGGTGAACAGAACCATATCACTTGTAAGAAAGCGTGCCCGAACGTCTTCGCCCTTCGCCAAAATTGAACACGGGAATATTTTTGGGGGTTTGCGAACCGGTAGCGCTGACCACCACCACACTATCAACCACAACACAGTCAGCAGGTGATGCTACAGACCTGTCCTCGCCTTCTGGTGG